TGGAAGGGAAGCAGGCAGGGGACCCTCAGGAGAAGGCTCCCGTGGGACCGGCGGCCGGCTCAGTGCCGGACCGGCAGGAGGGGAGCGGGCTTCTCTCCGCAGCTCGGTGACCCGGAGCGTTCGGCCGGATTTTGGTAGCGGCCGGTTCTGTCAAAGGCATTTTCCCCTTTCGGGCGATCCGGTTACTGGAGTAAAGACAGCAGCTGTAGTTCACGCCGCTTTTCCTTCTTCTTGCAGGTCCGCGCCGAAAAGCCACTTTTTTCTTCAAATCCAGAGTTGGACAATTTGGTAAGGCCTGCTCCCTCTTCCACCGCGCTCCCTGTCGCCCTTGCCGACCCCTCCGCCCCGGAGCGGGCCGAGCGGCGCGGCCGGGCAGCGGCGGCCGGGCCGGGCACCGGGTGCGCCGGCGTGGGAGCGGGGCGCCCGCCGGTCGGCAAGCTGCCGTCAAGGGGCTTCAAAGAGCTTTATTCTTAGAGCCAGTCAGAGCAAAGTCTCAAGCCCCAATGCATTGCAAAGCTGAGTTTGAAAGCCACGGGAAGCTAAAAGTGAAGGAAGTAACTGCTTAAGAAGAGAGAGCTGGAGATTTCTAATGTAATTCTTTTGCTAATGTGAACGATTTCAATATTCAAAGTGCCTAAATCCGCTTGTAAAGAAGATGCCAAACTATTCAAACACACATTCACCCCCCCTTTCTCCTGCGGGCGGGGGTGGGGGTGGTAGCGTGTGTTTGACTTCTCTGCGAACCCTCAGGGATGAGGGCCGGGGTGCTGAGGGGAACGAGGAGAGGAAGAGGTTTTCTCCAAGATCGCGTAATAAAGCGCTAATCACCGCTCCTGGAATAAATATGATAAAAATCAAGTGTTTAGGTTAAAGTTGATCAAAATTGTTAAAGCGTGACCAATGAGCTAAAATCCTGTATAATGACCGCGCGCCCTGACAATCCCCTTCTCCCCCTTTCCCACTCGGGCTCGCCGCTCTGCCCAGCCCCCGTGCGCCTGTCTCCCACGTAACTCCTTGCTCAAAACTTTCTTGCAGATGATCCAAGCAATACAAGTACTAAGGTTTCATCTTCTGGAATTAGAAAAGGTAAGAGCCACGGAGGTGGGCGGGGGTCACGCCATTCCCTGCCTCCTCTCCCCTCGCCCTCTGCCCCCCCCCAGCTCCCTTCCTCCCGACTGTTTGGGCTGACTTGTAAACACGGCCAGAGAAGATAGGGGTAATGTATTATGACACCGTAACCTGTGCCATCAGAGCATGTGACACCCGACAGACTTGCCCAGACCGTTTTTCCCCTTTTTGTGTGTGTGCAATTTCAATATTTACAAATATTAAATATTAAACCCCTTTCATCCTTCTTACTCCTTCCCTCAGTAGAAGCTCTTTTTCCCTCCCAGAAATATTATATTTAACAAAAAGAAATGAAACCACTCGTTCTCCTCTCCGGCTCTGGCAGGCACATTAACCCCAAGCAAGGACTAAATGTTTGGAAGAGGCAGGGGCCCCTGCAGGCGTGGGCAGGGGCTGTGCCCTGGGACAAGAATGGCTCTTCCCACAACCTCAGCAAGTAGCTTCATTTTACTGCTCCCGGCCATTTAGACCTTTTTTTTAGCCCTGGTTTAAACTGATCCCGTCCCGAGTGACTAGTTGTACCTGTCTGGGTTGTGTATGCTCCGGACATACCACCTGGGTCCAGCTCCCAGTGTTCCGATGTTATCACCAAATCCGATTTTCTTCAGCACTCAAGTCCGAGCCCACCACCTCTCTCTCTAACTTGTTGCTGCAGCAAGTCTCCAGAGAATAATATGTGCTGCAACAATTTCTCTATTGTTTCCTTGCCTTCAACTATTGTCCCCCTTAATTAGAGTTACTTAGAGTTACTTGTGGAGTAGATCAGAGGGTTGAACTTGTTACAAAAAAAAGAAAAAAAAAGTGCCGAAACACGATATTTAGCCATTATTGATTCTATTATTCTTGTTATTCTTTTCAGGTTCATGAATTGTGTGATAATTTCTGCCATCGGTACATTAGTTGTTTGAAAGGAAAAATGCCAATAGACCTCGTTATTGATGAAAGGGATGGCAGCTCCAAATCAGACCATGAAGAACTCTCAGGATCTTCCACAAATTTAGCCGACCATGTAAGTCCTTCTGTTTTCTTTATGACACTTTTTAAAGTTTTTAACCTGCTTAGAGGACCTGTTCTGGATTTCCTTGCTTTGCTGCTGTTGTCTGTTAATATTGTTACTACCTTAACCTCCTGCAAGCTTGAATCCCATCTTCAAACTTTCTTCCCTTTCGCTTTGCAAAGTTGTAGAAATGCAAAAGACTCCTTCAGTTTTCATCTGTAAAACATCGAGTTTGCAATGGTTTGTAAAGTTTCCTAGTCTGGGCGGCTTGGAGAGCTAGCAAACTGTTGGTTTGATGTGGGGATCAGTGCTTTCTCCTGTTCTTTGCCAACTTTGTAATCAATGCATCAATGTAAGGAAACACAGACAAGAAAGTTAGGAAGAAAGTTTGCTGATATGCTCCCCCCTCCCCTCTCGTGGGGATGACAAGTGATGAGAATTATTGGCAATACTACACTACATTAAAAAAAGGGGTTAGCACATTAGAGTTTCCAATGCTTTTGCTTTATAGCAACTTATTGTCAGAATATGGACTTATTGCCAAACGCCTGAAGCATCTTCATAATAAAAGACAGTAACCTTGATGAAGCAATTATTAACAATGTATTACAGAAAGTTGGAGAGAATGATGATTGAGTAACCGTAGGTTAGCGGTTGATTTTAACACTTTAGGAGTTGGTGAATTAGTGTAATGTGTGTAGTACTGAACATTGGTGTGCATGAAAGGAGAGTGCCTTTGTTTTTTCTGAGTTTTGGAGTGGCTCCTCTGATCCTTCAAAAGACGTAGATGCAGAGAGACTTGGGGATGTGGAGGGAAAGATTGCAGCTGGTACAGCAGAAAAGGAAAGGAATAGCTCTGGTTGAAAAGGGTGGGTGTGAATTCCACTTTATTTATAGGAACGCATCCCTGGGGGGCAAAGGGGTTTATACAGTTTCAGATTCAATTGAACTAATAATCTAAATGATAGAGTCTAATATTTTAGCGGTTGAAATATTAATTTAACACCCGGTGTGAAGTTAACCATGCTTTCTGCACAGGCGCCTGCCTTTATTTCCCAGTGTGTTAAGAGTAGCTGGAAGCCCAGGGAGAATGAGCTTTCTAGGAGCTTTTGTTTCCTTTGAAAACATGTTGTTTTTGTGTGTATTTGGTAATTACATTAGACCTGGACTGAAGCTGAATTGGGAAATAAAATAATAATAAATTCTTCTGAATGTCCCCCTTCTGGCGTGGCTTAGTTATGGGAAATATTTTTGGACCCAAGCCTTAGCTTTCATTTTCTCATTTGTATTCAGTAAACATTGCATGACAGGGTTTGTGCTGGTTTACATTTTAAATCTATTATTTTGAGAGAAAAAAAAGTATGCAGGTCTTCCTTAAAGTTTATCTCCTTCAGCTAACTCAGACGTAGGTAATAAACTCCATGAGGCATGACACAATTTCAAAAATATTTGTTTCATGGCATTTTACAACCTTAAATTCGTGGGCATAAGTATTCTGGGAGAGTACTAGGAAAGAAATTGAAATGAGTGGCAACCTGAAAGATAGTGAGTCACTGTGTAAAATTTAGAGAAACAGAAAAAAAATACATGTTTCTCCAATACAGTTTCTTTACAAGAGTGTGTTTCAAGTGGAAGTGTAGAAATGGAGCATGCTTATGTTTATATTGAAGAGATTAGATAAACTAGCCTGTTTAGGGTTTCTGGCAGATGGCAAATGCTCAAGCCAATTTGCAGTGCTCCATTATAATATTTAAATTCACACACAATGATAGGACAGGAGTGGAGGGGGTTAGCATTTTGATAATTTGGTAACTATTATCTTCCCCAAGAAGAATCTCCTCTTGCTTTTGTGGCCCCAAAAACAAACTCAAATAAATATGACAACCCATTTGTCTTGCACCCGTTAGGGTTTACCACTTCATTGGGTATTATAATTTAAAGCCTTTTACTTCCTGGAGATTTGAGCTATAACATTTTTACTTTAGCCCCCTGCTATTTGTTTTGAAAGGAAGCAATAATTTGTGCAACCAGAACACCAACTGGGAAATGAAGAGTTGTATCACATAGTTACATTTTATTCATGCGTTTTGGGAAATGTGTCTCCTTATTGGATTTTTTTTTTTTTTTGTATATTAGCTTGTTTTCCTGACAAAACTTTAACACCTTTTTATAGCTTAGTCAAACTACCATGTTTTATATTTGCACTGTACAATGTTCCAGCAGAAAGAAATGCATCTTTATTCACAGAAAAGGAAAAGCTTTAAAAAACCGGATAATATAAACATGCAAGTCTATTAAAAAATGAGCTATCATTTCTGAGCATCTACCTGAAAATGTAGCAGTTCAAGCATGCAAATTTGTCCAATTTGGCTCTCCAGGTTTATTTTTTTTTCATTTGCCTTGATATGCATATTTAATATATAGCCTTAGGCTAGATCTCATTTGGTGAAAGTTGGTGTAGGGGTGATGATGAGCCACTTCAGAAGGACAGAGACAGCATGTTGTTTCCTCTGTTTTATGTATTGGCCCACTATTCTGATCTGCGGGTCTTCCCCTCATGGTTTTATTTGCACATGAAATACTAGGAGCATTTCAACTGATTGGCTATGAATAATGATAGCCCAAAAGAAGTGTAGGTTAATTTGTTGTGTGCCAAGGTTTCTCTTGTGGAGGTGACAGTTTGTGACAGCTGTTTGACACCCCAAAAATCCATACCCCTCTATTGTTATTAAGTGGTGTAAAGCTACCCTCTGTGTGTTTAGTGTGAATGTAGGGGCAGAGCTGAATTAGGAACTAAGGCAGCTCTCAGCTTTATTGTTTTCCTAGACCTCAAAACTGGCATGAAGGAAAATAACCAAAAGAATTGTAGGATTAGCCAATATTTACCATAACACTTTAAATGGGGTACTCAAATATTGCATGCTTCCCCTTTCAAAATCTACTGCACTGTTACTTATATAACTTAATTGGAAACCAAACCCAAAAACAACAAAGGAATGAACTCTTCAGAGATACACCTGTGCTGAAAAAAAAGGAAACAGCTGAAAGTTGTTGTGCTGTACATGTTTGGTAATAAATGTGTTTATTGAATTTTAGTTTAGTGCGCTATTAACTGTTATGTAATATAGTTAGTGTAAAGGGTCCAGGGACATGGTAGATCAAACAGAGTAGTGCTGGCCACAAGAAGCTGAAACTTTTGTTATTACTCTGCTGTGTTTAGTAAATATAACAGCCCATAATTAGTGCTTGAATTTTTAACACCCTTGTTTTTTTTTATTGCTCTGAGGTATTAGCTGTAGATGGGAAGAAGGTAATTACAGCTATGCCCTGGCTGAACCAGATTAGTTAGGGGGAAAAAAAGATAAGAAAAGTGGGAAAAAAAGCCTTTGCAGCTGCTGTTCAAGTTCGTTTTCCCAGTGCAGACAATTTATTATTGTTCAGCTAAACATCCCAGACACTATCCTGAATTCTGTGTTCAGCCTAACATGTCTGATGAGATTGTTTGCAGATTTTTTTTTTTCATATTTCAAGCTATTCAAATTTGAAAAACATGATGCTCATAAAATTTGGAGATTTTAAACTTTTTTTTGAACATATTATAACATTTTTTACTTTAATTACACTTCTTTTGTAGCTGGTCTCACCTGGTGTGATACAATTCTTCCTTTAGTCCAAACCTGTTTTGAAGCCCAGTAATTCTCCCACAGAAATTTATGGCTATCCTTCCGCTGGCTGTTGTGGGAACAGTCTTTTCAATATTTGTTCATATGCTTTTGTAGCTCAGAGGTAATAATATACAGATCATAATTCCTAAAATATCGTTAAAACAGACAGAAATATACATACATGTCTTTTATAAAAAAAGACTCTTGTCAGATTAGAAATCCAACATCTTAGCCGTAGAAGAGAAAGATTAGTCTGAATATTAAAACTTTCTGCTCTCACATGAGGAGATACTTTATTTTGTACTTTTGGATATCCAGACAATTTAACATTTCTTTAATATTTCTCCTAAAAGAATGGTCTGTGCAAATTCCTGACATTTTGCAGATTAGAAAAAATAAAAATAGTGTAGTACATACCTGTTCCAGGAATATAATTAAATCTTCAGGTAAGATTTCACTGAGTAATGAAGAAGCAACTGGGGGCCTGATGCTAAGTCTGCAGGTATCCCACACTTTTTTGGGCTTCAGTGGGAGTTTTGAGAAACACCAGATTAGACCCCAAAGGTGCCCTTTCTGTCTGTAGTGTCAGAAGGAAAACTAAGTATCTAACTGCAACAATAATAAGGCAAACTTAGAATGTTCCTCAAGACTTAGGACATTGCTGTAGGCCCTTTCTTTCTTTTTTTTTTTGTAGTGCCTTCTGAAGGGGCAAAGAGCATCAGGAACTTTCCAAGACTGTAGTTAGTGTTGTGCATTCCTGCTTTTTGATGGGCCAAGGTGCACTTCTGTCAATAGCTGAAGTCTCAAATTTGAGTGTTTTAACTTTAAACTCTGTTCTCTCAAACTGAACCAATAATGTTTTTCGGTACCTATTTGATAACTGTGATCCCTTTTGGTTTGAGTTGTCTATCAGTCTAGATGAAGTGTAGCCACACAGAATGACATAGAAGGACAATTAAAAAACCCAACACCCCCCTGATTTTTCAAGTCTCAGTTCCTTGGTGACAGGTGGATTACATGTCTGATTTCAATCTTAATTAGAAAACACAAAACACGCAGCTTTTCAGAAAGCTGCCGTGTTCTAGGAAACTCAAAAATTGCTACTGATGCTTTCTTCAAGTGCAAAATCAAGGGAGAAGAATTAAAACTTGTACATATATACAAAATATCTGATAGATTGCTGGGCATTATTTTTTGTTTCAATTGTGTAACTCTAGTACAAAAAGAAGTAATCCTCTTAAGCATGCATCTTTTGGAAAATAAACCTGAGTGATACCAGGAGTAGTCTTTTTCAGAAAACATACGTATTATGTCAAATTAGAGTTTTTCATGTCTTTTTGTCTTATT